GGACAGAATACAACACAACTTGTTTTCAGTGGAGGTTTGTTTGACAGGCGTTTGCCTAAAAAAGCTTAAACTAAATTTTTATACTTTATATAAAAAAGGATGCCACTTAAAAGAAAAAAATAAGAATGCCCTAATCATTGTGTATTATTTTAATATTAAAAGTATTATACATGGAATACAGAATTCTAGAAAGATGTTCTTTGACTTCTGATGGGCTACATCATGATGAATACATCAAAAATGTATTATATACACCTAAGCCACCAAATACCCAGCTTTACACGGTGTACCAAAGACCACCAGTTGTCGGTCTCCTGACACCACCTAAGAACTGCAGCTTGCTGGCACTGCCCAGTGCAGGAATAACAGTATCTTAGCACATCTACCCCTAGCCTGAATAAAGACTGAAATTATAGATTTGAGATATCACTTCTACTGAATATCTATCAGTTTCTCACCACCTTGTAGGAAGAGTTTATTTGTATTTTAATAAATAAAGCTTGCCTGAAGATCAGAATGCAAAGCTAAGCCACTAGAGGCCAGGCAGTGGTGTCACTGTCTGGTGTCAACTTTAATCCCAGGATTTGGGGAGACAGAGGCAGATGGATCTCTGTGAGTTCAAAGCTATTCTGGGCTACACAGGATCAATCCAGAAACAGACCCAGGTGGTGGTGGTTTGGGAGTCACACACCTTTAATCCCAGCACTAGGAAGGTGGAGACAGGAGCAATATGGCTGGGCGGAGAGAGGAATATAAAGAGAAGGGACAGGAACTCAGTGGAGTGTGAAGTCTGAGGATTCATGAAGGCAGGATCTCGTACATTCAGTCTGAAGATTTGATAGAGGCAGGAGGTCTTTCTAGAGGTTGGCTATTTTGCTTTTCTGATCTTCAGCTTGAACCCCAATATTTGTCTCTGGGTTTTTTATTATTCGTGCTACATCACCCCAAAGCCAAAAAAAAAAAATCTTAAACTGAAAAGCCAAGTCAGAAATAGCATATACTTTTTTCTTCGACTTCTCAACAAATACACTATTTCAAAATGAAAGGGTTTTAAAAAAATGAGCTGAGTCACTGATAAAAGAGGATGCCTCACAGGAAAATAGATTAACCATAAACCTGCATATTTTGAATAGCATAACCTCAAAAAATAGATATGTACCTCTGTGTGTGTGTGTGTTTGTGTGTGTGTGTCCAGGGAGAAAGAGACTCTATTATTACAAATGGAGCTTTAACATATAGCAAATTGTCAGCGATTATCACTACTAAAAGAGATTCATACATATACAAGTAATTAATGAATGAAAATTTTAATGAAAGAGAATTGAGCAACAGCCTTAATAAGAAACAGATAAAACAGTCCATCCATTGATGAATCCATATCACATGCACATACATGCTTTGTAAACAACCATATACAAATTAATAACAAGTTATAATGATTATTCATTTATTCAAAAAATGTCTATATGTTTTATACTTTGATCTTTATGTGCATTACATTTCATAAAAGTTTTTTAAGTTATTATTATCTTTAAAAATGTATTAGCAAAATCCTTAAGATAAAACTACAAAGAAGCCCTGTCCAGTGGAGCATGTCTTTATTACCAGCACCACGGAGGCAGAAGCAGGAGGATTTCTCTGAGTTCAAGGCCAGCCTGGTCTACACAGCAACTTATAAGACATCCAAAACTAAATAGAGAGAGACTGTCAAAAAAATTAAAAGAAGAGATATTGACATGTTTCAAAAAGAAACAATAAAATTCAAGATTATAGACTGCAGTAAAATGAACAGTTTTATAGTCCAGTTATTTCTAAAATATATAAATCCAAGCATAATGAAAGCAATCTCAATGTATATATACAGCTCATCTAATGCAAAACTATAAATTTATAAGAATATACCACCTACTTGTATATATTCAAAATAGAATAAAATTAAAAAGAACAATACTTTCAATTTTAGCAATATCAAAACCAGGGTTTCTCTAACCAACTACCAAAAACGGTTCTACGGAAAATCTGTCCCATTATTCAACCATTTCATGAAGCACCAAACCAGCTACCCCTTTAAAGTAAAACTTTATGCTGCCAGATTAGAGACTTCAAAACAAAACAACAAAAACTATAACCCAAAACAAAACTGGGTATTACAGTTACAATTAAATTTAATACTTCAGGACATAAAATTAACTATTCCCAAACATATTAAAGTAAACAAGTTAAGTGCAGTGGCCCATGGCTGTCCTATCATCTACTTGGTGGGCTAAGGCAGGAAGATAGATGTCTGGAAGCCGAGAGTTCAGGGCCAGCCAGAACAACTAATGATGACAATAACGACAACAACCAAAGACTCCAGGCATGGGCGTGCACATCTCTGACACCAGCAGACAGCCCTCCAGAGTCAGAAACAGGAGAATCAAAACCTAAGGACATCCTCAGCTACTTAACTCGTTTGACGACAGCCTAAAGGACAGGAGATCCTGGGTTGTTTGTTTGTTTGTTTTTTAAAAAGGATTTAAAGTCAGAGATTACAATGTAGTTCTGTTATTTAAACTCTCATGAAGAGCTATTTCTTTCACTAATTTTTCTGAATTTAAAATAAATTTAATAAATAGCACATTTGCTACCAAACAGATTATTTCATTAGAATTTATTTTAAAAGTACTTACATAAACCGTTATTGTGTCACAAGGTGTGGCCTATCTTAAATCTGTGTTTACTTAATAATCAAAGAAGAATCAATATCACATTGCTAGACTACCCCTAAATGTCTCAATATACTTCTAATACATCTTAAATTTAATACATATTAAATTCACTTCAAAAAAACCACCTAAAAGTAGAACCTGTCTGTTGTAAATGTTAACTGAGTTAATAGGCAGGGAAAGCTGGAGCAGTCCTGAGCAGCCATTGTTAAATACAGCAGGGGCTGGCGAACTTCAACCCACAGCACAAATTCAGTCCAGGTACTCAGCCAAAATGATTAACCAGGAGGAACTTACGCTGTAATGGCTCCAGTCCCTTGAATTCCTATGCAAGTAAACTCAAATCCAATGATTACTATTGGTACAAGCAGGGTTTTCTGTAATGCAAATACTATTATGCTGTTGTTTTTTTTTAAAATGTAACCAACATTTTATGTATGTTGGTATTTTGTCTACATGTATGCCTTGGCACCGAAGTGCACATAAGCATGCTAAGAGGGCAGAAGGAGACATAGATTTCCTGGGACTAGATTTAAAGAAGGTTGTGCGCACCATGTAGATTCCGGGCATCAAACCGGGTCCTGCGCTCCTAACCACCAATCTATTGCTCCATCCCTTATTATGTTCTTTCTTGATCTTGATACTAGATAAAAGAGTATATGTGATGAAATGCGGTGAGTTGTAGACATGACTTAAATACTTGAAAGTTACCACACAAAGATTTGTATTTCATACTCTGCGTCTTTGAAGAAAAAAAAAAGTGTCTATTACCTATTCATATTTGTTTTGCCATCATTACTTTAATGAAACAACTCATATTATCTCACTTTTAAAAAGTAAACCTCAATTAGTTTTACTGGCATAATATTACATAGGTTTTGTTTCCATTGTTTTGATAAATAGCAAGACTAAAAGCAACATGGGGGTGGGGGCAGGAGGAGGGCTTCCATCACCCAGGGAAGCTACCAAAGTTGCTCAAAGCTAGAATCGGAAAGCAGGAACTGAAGCAGACACTATGGAGTAACCCGGCTTAATGGCTTGCTCTCCATGACTTGTTTGGCTTGCTTTCTTATATACCGGAGGACCACCTGACCAGTGGTGATACCGCCCACAGTGATCTGGGCCCACCCAAATCAAATTCAGGAAAATGTCCAAAGACATGCCCAAAGGGCAATCTGATGGAGGTAATTCCTGGCAAACTGACAAAGGGAATATATATATGTGTGTGTGTATATATATGGTGACAGCCTATGTAATGATTACATAACTGTCGTTTTATGCTTTCCAGATAGAAGACCACGCTGTGTGAAGTGAGTAACTCATGATTAGTAGGTTAAAGTTGTCCTCCCTTAACTCTGTCCACGACCACTGGGAATTAACTCGCATAAAATGCTCGAAGGAGCCCACCCAAAGTCCTGTTCTCGTGGAAAGGTGTTTCTTTAGACCACCCTAGTCTGTCCTGCTATCTGGTAGTTTAGCCAGCTCCTTCCGTGAAGTTCCTTCAAGAACTTCACCAGACTCTCTGAACACAGCAGACAATGAGGACTACTGAGAACTCAAGAACAATGGCAATGGGTTTCCACGCACTGGCTTTGGGGAGCCTAGGCAGTTTGGATGCTCAACTTACTAGACCTGGATGGAGGTGGGGGTTCCTTGGACTTCCCACAGGACAGGGAACCCTGATTGCTTTTCGGGCTGGGGGGGGGGGGGACTTAATTGGGGGAGGGGGAGGGAAATGGGAGGCGGTGGCGGGGAAGAGACAGAAATCTTTAATAAATAAATAAATTAAAATAAAAAAAAAAGAACTTCACCAGTAAGTACCACTGGGAGGTGTCATCCTCCAGTCAGAAAAGTCGCCTCCTGGATGTTGTGAACGCGGAGCTGGCATCCATGCGCTCTTACTGCAGCGGGCTCCGCGCGTGTTGCGCGACCATGGAGTTTGCCTTGCACTTTCCAGGGTAAGAACTCTAAAGTGCTCAAGGACACAGTGGATCCGCGGTCCAGCCAGGGCTGAAACCCGACCTCGCCAAGACTTAGAGGAAAAACAACCCACACTTTTGATCAATGTTCAGTCTCTTTTAACTTTTGCAAGCGCGAGCGGAAACCTGAGGAGAAGGAGCAGTGTGTCACCTGAGAACCCCGCGACACCGGCCCTCGAGGGTGGCCAACACGCTCCGGGCCAATCCCATGCACACCTCCTCGCATCTCCAGGGGCTGCAGCCGGAAGTGGGGAGCCGGCTGCAGCCCACCCCGATCTGCCCTCCCTCCCCCAGCTCTCCCGGTCCACGCCGTTACCTAAGGAGCCGCGGGAACCCTCCGCGCCCACTCGGCTCGCTCGCGCAGTCTCTCAGGCCTGAGGCGCCGTCACCGAAGCAGCCAATCTCCGCGCGCCCGCTACGCGCGCCCCCGAGCGACCAAAAGAGGCGGGGCAGACGAGGGGGAGCGCGCCGCGAGGTTGCGCGCACCAGGCATGCGCGAGCCCGCTGGCGACCTCGGGGCGGGGCTTCCGGCGAGCCTGGGGCCGCGGAGAGTGAGGAGAGGAGCTGGAGAGGAAGGCGGCCGAGGTTGCCCGTTGGGGAGTAGCGGACTGCTGTCCAGACAAACTCTGGTCTGGCTAGAGGAGGAGAAACGTGGGGTGCGTGGTGTCAGTCTCACGTGGGCGAGCTTCACTGGGCAGAACTGTGGTTTCCTTTCGTGGGTTTAAGTTTGCGCGCGCACCGGAGGAAGGGCGCTGCAAAGTGAGCCGGAGTGAGACCTTGACGCTGGCCAAAGAACCTTTCAGAAAAACTTTAAAGCTGGTGGCAATTTTTACTTCAGGACTAGAGAGAGAGTGTTCTAGACCATGTGCATTCACCAAATGTTCGGTCTCTGAATTTCAAAGAATAACCTGAATGCCAAGGATGTTGCTTTATTGCGGAGTTAAAAAGGTAACAAGGAATTTTATCTGAACTGGTAATGATTCAAGTATTTCCTCTGAGAAAGACGGAGAGATGTGGCCTCTCTGCTGCCCAGTCTGATGCAGAACTCCTGCCTCCACCTTGGCCAGGTTGCTGGGACTTAACACTGGCAGTTTAGTATTGAGTTTAAAAGTCACTTTAATTACATTACCTAGTATTCTCTGAGTATTTGCTGACCAAATAGCCAACAAAAGCAACTTAGAGAAGGCTTTATTTTGGCTTACAGACTAAGAAGCGATACTGTCCATCTTGGTGATGGAGTCATAATGACAGGATGGTCACATAGCTGGTCACACTGCATCCACAGTCAAGAAGCAGAGAACAAATGGAAAATGGGGCTGGGCTATACAACCCATTCCCAGGGACCCACTTTCTCTAGCAAAGGTTCATTTACCAAAAGTACCTCAACCTCCAAAATAAAGCATCCAACTGGAAAAGTCAAGGTCAGAGACTAGGCATCCCTAAGAAGTCAGGTTCAGCCACCTAGCATTAAGAGACCAATTAGACAATTAATAATGAAAGGCAGAAAAAAATATATTCAATATGGACAGAATGGGAAGAGGAACATAGAGATCCAACAACCTCTCCCATAACCAAGTCTAAATTCAGGGCCATAACTAGAGGGCAACAGGTATGTATAACTAAGCAGTCCTATCTAAAGTGTGGTCTGTCTTTCAACTTCAAACTCTTCTGCAAGGTGGACTATCAACTTGTCAAAACTGTGAAATGGCTTTCCAGGAAACAATATCTCCCTCTAGCTGGTACAATGGTTTTAGCCTTTGTCTCATTTGAGACTTCTGGGAAAATTGCAAATTCTTAGGCTCCATTGCCTCAGGATTCTGATAGCCAAAAGGAGGGGCAAAAGTATCTCTTTGGGATATCTCCATTCCTGCCAGGACTTTAACAGGACAAAATGTTCAAGTATTTGAGCCAATAGAGGACATTTCATGTTCAAACCCTAGCCAAGTGTGATGAGTGAATTACTTGGGGAAGATACTCAGTTCATATGCAGTGGTGTTTTCTGGATTGGAATGAAGATAAAGATATGAGAGTAAAATAAAGATAATAGTGTTGACTGAGGTTTCTGTCCTGTCCAGTTCCTGCAATTGTGAAGTCCCAAAGAAATTACACAGAGGTCTACATTAACTATAAACGGATTGGTCCATTAGCTCAGGCTTCTTATTAACACTTATAACTTATATTAGCCCCATTATTCTTGTCTATGTTAGCCATGTGGATTGGTACCTTTTTTTGGTGAGGCAGTCACATCTTGCTTGCTCTGTGGCTGGATCAGGACTACAGACTCCTCTTCCCAGAATTCTCCTGTTCTCATCACCCTGTCTCTACTTCCTGCCTGCTTGTCCTGCCTATACTTCCTGCCTGGCTACTGGCCAATCAGAATTTTATTAAACTACAATTGACAGGGTACAAACCATTGTCGCACAGTATAATTGCTATGGTTAAAATGTCCACATTGAATCGCATGACTTTCCAATACATCATGAAACATCCCTTTTACAAATCACTTTTCTAAAGAATCATGAATCATTTTTGAATCCCTTTTTTCAAAGGTGAGGATCTAGCCTGGGTCTTCACACAAGTCAGTAGAGTGTGTAACCACAGATCCACAGCAACTCTCGTGTGCAGTACACACCAGAAGGGGCATTATGCATGGTACTAGAAACCTACCCAACTTCCCAGGGCTAGTGAGGCCTTGGTTCTAAGAGGTGAACCTTCTACTTCCACTTCATTGAACCAGCATGATTCCTAAGTACATTCTAAACACTTATCCTTCTACCCATAGGCAAGTATAGATTTCATCCCTCATCAAAGAAGCCTCTCTTTGCAGCAGACTTTTTACTTTAAGACAAGGTCTCACTGTGTAGTCCATACTGGACTTAAACCCTCTTTCTTCTGTCTCAGCCTTCCAGATAGTAAGTGTATAGGCATGTACCACTATGCTGGGCTCTAGGCTTTTTAAAGCAATTTTAAGCTTACAGAAACTTGAACAGATTGCACAGAGTTTTTAACCTTAAGTTTCCCATATTATTAAGATCTTTCATTACTATGACCTATTTGTTATAACTAATAAAAATAACTGATAAATTATATAGTGGTTTGAAAAGGAATGCCCCCTATAGGCTCATATATTTGAATGCTTGGTCATAAAGAAGTTATGCTGCTTAAAAGGGTTTAGGGCATATGACCTTGTTGGAGGAAGTTATCACTGGAATCAGTGAACTTCAAAAGTTCAAGCCAGACCCAGTGTCTGTCTCTTCCTGCTTCCTGTAGATCCAGATGTAGGACTCTCAACTATGATGTCTGCCTGCATGCTGCCATGCTCCTCCCTGCCATGAGGATGATGAACTAAACCACTGAAACTGTAAGCAAGCTCCAACTAAATGCTTTCTTTGTGTAAGAGTTGCCGTGGTCATGGTGTCTATTCACAGCAATAGAACCTAAGACACGTCAACTCAAGTCCATAGTTTACATAAGTTATGTGTTCTGTGCCGTTCATAGTGCAGTTCCATGGCATCTGTAATGTACCGTATCATGTGCCCACTATTGCAATGTTAGAATAGTTTCATTCCCCCAAAGTTTCCCAGTGCTTCACTTCTCTCCCTTCTTCTAAAACTCACCTCTGAAAACTACTGATCTTCATCACCACCTTAATTTTTGCCTTTTTGGACTAGTTCTTCATTAAGTAATATTTATCAATAGTACTGTGGAAACATTAATTTTTCATTTTTTTCCTTTTGATCTTTTAGACAGGGTCTCATGTATCCCAAATGCCTTATCTTGCTGTATTGTTAAACATGCCCTGAACTCTTGATCTTACTGCATCAACCTCCCAAGTTCCTGGATTACAGGAATGCACCACCACACCTGGGATACTTTACCTATTTTCACGGTTTGATAGCTTATTTCTTATTTTTATAATCACATTTTGTTATATGGTAAAAAACAATTTGTTTTTCTACCCACCTACTGAAAGACACGTCAGCTACACCCAGGTTTGGACAATTATGAATAAAACTGTTATAGACATCTGCCTGCAGTATATGGAAATGAGGATTCGATTAACCTGGGTAGCTAAAAAGGGACAAAATTGCTGAGTTATTTGAGTATATTTCATTTTTTTATTTTTTTTATTAAAAATTTCCAAATCCTCCCTGCCTCCCATTCCCCCTACTCCCCTCCCCCTCCCTCTCCAGTCCAAAGAGCAGTCAGGGTTCCCTGCCCTGTGGGAAGTCCAAGGTCCTCCCTCCTCTATCCAGCTCTAGGAAGGTGAGCATCCAAACAGGCTAGGCTCCCACAAAGCCAGTATTTGCAGTAGGATCAAAATCCAGTGCCATTGTCCTTGGCTTCTCAGCAGCCTTCATTGTCCACCATGTTCAGAGAGTCTGGTTTGATCACATGCTTTTTTATTCCCAGTCCAGCTGGCCTTGGTGAGCTCCCAATAGATCAGCCCCACCGTCTCAGTGGGTGGGTGCGCCCCTCGCAATTCTGACTTCCTTGCTCATGTTCTCCCTCCTTCTGCTCCTCATCTGGACCTTGGGAGCTCAGCCCGGTGCTTCAATGTGGGTCTCTGTCTCTATCCCCATCCATCCCCAGATGAAGGTTCTATGGTGATATGCAAGATATTCATCAGAATGGCTATAGGATTGGGCCATTTCAGGCTCCCTCTCCTCATCTGCCCAAGGAACTAGCTGGGGACATCTCCCTGGACCCCTGGGAACCCCTCTAGAGTCAAGTCTCTTGCCAACCCTAAAGTGACTCCCTTAATTAAGATATATACTTCCCTACTCCCATATCCACCCTTCTGTTATCCCAACCATCCCATACCCCCAAGCTCTCCCCATCCTTCCCTTCTCACTTTTCTCTCCCCATATCTCCTTTCCCCTATCCACCCCACCCCCAGTTCCCAATTTTTGCCTGGCAATCTTGTCTACTTCCAATATCCAGGAGTATAACTATATGTTTTTCTTTGGGTTCACCTTCTTATTTAAGCTTCTTTAGGATCACGAATTAGAGGCTCACTGTCCTTTATTTATGGCTAGAAACCAATTATGAGTGAGTACATCCCATGTTCATCTTTTTGGGTCTCAGTTACCTCACTCAGGATAATGTTTTCTATTTCCATCCATTTGCATGCAAAATTCAAGATGTCATTGTTTTTTACCGCTGAGTAGTACTCTAATATGTATATATTCCACACTTTCTTCATCCATTCTTCCATTGAAGGGGAGCTAGGTTGTTTCCAGGTTCTGGCTATTGCAAATAATGCTGCTATGAACATAGTTGAACAAATGCTTTTGTCATATGATAGGGCATCTCTTGGGTATATTCCCAAGAGTGGTATTGCTGGGTCCTGGGGTAGGTTGATCCCGAATTTCCTGAGAAACCGTCACAGTGCTTTCCAAAG